TACACATATCAGAGATTAGTTGCAAATCCCGGCACTACCAGTTCGCTCGTGCTCGCATGCACGCTCATGTGCGATGCCTGCCGCCGCCGCCACTACTGGTTTTCCCACCTCTGATACATATCCTTTAGAGCATTGTTTCTCAACCTTGGCAGCTTGAAGATGAGTGGACTTCAACTCCCAGAATTCCCGAGCCAGCATGGCTGGCTCGGGAATTCTGGGAGTTGAAGTCCACCCATCTTCAAGCTGCCAAGGTTGAGAAACAATGCTCTAAAGGATATGTATCAGAGGTGGGAAAACCAGTAGTGGCGGCGGCGGCAGGCATCGCACATGAGCGTGCATGCGAGCACGAGCGAACTGGTAGTGCCGGGATTTGCAACTAATCTCTGATATGTGTAGCCTGCAAGTTATTTCGCCCTCTTCTTAATACATGGAAGATAAATTTAAATTCTTCCCGAGTGACTGACATAAGCCCTACAATTAAGGTATTAAATATGAAATCCTATAAATCCTCTTGTTTTCAAAGGACTTTATGGCTAATACCCTTCCTAGATTATGTCATTAAACCTGAGCCACTGCCACTACCATGGAGTCATAATTTTAAATTCTCAATAAGGTAGGACAAGAGTAAAAGAACCTTTCTAACTAAATTTAGAAGCTTTCACTAACACTTTGTGTTTGTGGCAAAGTAACATGGGACAGCAGCTAGATGTCCTCCAAACAGTTTTGATTTCACCTGCAACCAAAATGGCTAATATAAGACATTCTGGAAACCATAGTCTAACAAAGCATCAAGTTTCCTGCTCCTGCATGATATTTAAAAACAGTTACACATCTCACTAACTAAAAAAAACAACAGTCCCATTTTACCTTTAAAAGTGCCTGTTCTCTCCATTTGTTTGCGGGCGCTATTTGCAAATTGAGGCTTCAACACCTGATCTTCAAAATGATTTTGCGGTTTGATGATCTCCGTCCTTTTCTTGTCTTCAGAAGTTCCCAGGTCATTGTTCATATTTTCATCTGTCTGCTGCTCATTCATGCTACCGTTCTTACAGTAACAGGATCCAGTATCGTAATAGGCTTCTTTGAAAAAACCATGTTCTTGACATGAAGAGAATGGATGGGCATTTTCGCACTGCAATCTTTTGGACTCATTGAGATAGTTCAAATAAAAATAATATTTAGCCAAAACACCCTCACTATGGCTGAAATCTAATGGGTCTGTATTGCTATAAAGCGGTTTCTTATGACCATCACAGCACTCTAAAGCATTAACACCTGCAGTGGAGAACTCTTTAGCACCATATGCTGGTTGGAGACCAGTTGCAGAAATATTATCATTTACAGAGCCTTGCTCATTTTTGGAGATACAAGGCTTATGTATGACCTGGTCATCACTGATCTGGGGCGGCCCAACTAGCATAACACAGTCAATATTGCTCTTATTCACGCTTTTAATACTGTGATTCAGACAGTCGGAGCCCTCTTTATAAGTATTATTTTCTGACGTCTTCAGTAATGAACTCACAGAACTGCTCTTAATTTCCGTATCTGAACAGCCCAATTGAGATGTTAATTCTGCATCTTTTTGATATGTAGCTTTATTAAAATTGACATCCTGTTCTCCGATATATTTCCTCCCTTTAAAGGTATTGTCCATTTCCAGCGTTTGCTGTAATTTAGATTCATTTCTCTGGTCTGAGGCTCTCTCTAAAGCTTCAATATCTGACATCTGATGTCTCAGTGCATCTTTTCCTACTGTAAACTTAGAATGAAAATGGTTATTTCCATTTTCAGACTCTTTGTAGTTGCTTTTCATGGAATTCTGTGTTCCATTAAAATTGTTATATTTTGGGGTCTGTGTAAAATTCTTGCATTTATATTCTTGAATCTCCAAGGTTTCCATTCCTGGATTGCATTTTTCACAGCTGTCAGGCATTATTTTGAAGACAATTTCATCTTTCGGCATTGATGAACTGAAATATTTCATAATGGTCAGATTGTCAAAGTTAGCACTGTCACCAAGGTTTGTATAATTTTTGCTGTCCCTAGGCGACCACTTTAAATTATGTTTTGTCATATTTGTCCACTCTTCATCGGAACTGTCACTAAGTGGAGCCCAAAAATAGTTTTTATTTTTATTCTTGGCTGCCTGGATAGAATTTGAAATTATGTTTGCAGGACATAATGTATTATTATTTACCAAAGTCCCAGGAGTTTCTTGTTCAAAATTCTCTGAATTATTTTCAAAGGCTACAGAACTGTTTAAAATATTTGCATGTAATAGCTTTGGATCAAAAGTGCCAGGCTTTTTATTTATGATATCTTTGCCCCTGTTATTTTGAACCATATTTTTAAATATGCAGTGATCCAAGACAGAATGACTTCTTTCCTGAATGCTATTCCCAAAAGGAGACTGATCAAGAAACAATTCTGTCCAATTTGCATCTTTGAGTTTTTGAATCTCAGGGATGCTACTTTCCCTGTGTAGTTTATTATCTAATTCTGAAATACATGTATTCTTTAAGCATTTTCTTTCTTCAAGTCCAGCTGTAGCTCTTGATGTTTCTTCCTCCTTTCGTAGAGAGGTCACTTCAGAGAGCTTCCAAACGGTTGAATGCTTTTTTCCATTTACTATTTCGTTGGGTTCTTCAAAGCCCATCTTGCTATCAGTTGTAAAATTCAACAAACAACTTCTAGATAGCATGGAATTGTTATTATCTGCTGAATAAGGTGCTATTTTTCCATAACAAGTTATAGGAGTAAATGGTACAGAGATTTCATGAAGAGTATCAGCAACAGATGGGTGTAGTATCTTCTGAGGCAGAGATGCCATCTGTAGAAATAAAAAGTGCATATTAAAGCTGTTTTATCTGAAGATGAAAACTACTGCTGACCCTAAAGGGTTAAATGTTGGAGGTCTCATATCGTGTCTCCCATAAATCCTTTGAGTTTACACACCCTGGCCTACCTTGTTACCTTACTAGCTCCTTCCTGGTTATTGTTACTACTACTTCTCTTCCAAAGAATGCTTTTGCTTGGGATCCTATCCCTACTGTTGGTGTATAAAACGGGGTGGGGGTAACCTCACAGCCTAGATGCTTTACCAGCAAATAAGTAGAAAAAATGAAAATAATGAATTAAATTCTCTAACTGCTTTCTGACAATTTGAGTTTTGATTAGGGAAAACAGAGCCCCCTCTTGGAAGTTACATTGATATAAGTTATAATTAAATCACATTTTATTAACAAAAAGAAAAAAGAACAAGCAAACTTTTATTATTTATTTTGGGTAGTCATATGCACAATAATAAATGTTTCAGGAAATCAAAACAAAAACAGTGCTGTTAAATCCACAAATGGATTTAACTTAAAGAAATCTGCTATAAAAAATTATGAAGGAGAAGATAATCTTGTGATAGATCACAAGTTGACCTGATGGTCGGAGATCTCAAGAGGCATCAAGTATACAACAGGTGAACTTGCATAGTCCCTTTTAGATTCAGCTTTACTTGGACTTACATTTTGGCTTTCTGGTAATTCCAAGCTAAATTCAGCAGCTGAAGAAAAATTTCAACCTTCTGCCTCTCTTCGCTCCCAAAATGGCATGCCTATTTTTCTCCTGTAGAAATATTTCCTGACGTCTCATGGAAAGATAAGCAATTACTTCTCCCCAGGAATGAATAAGTTGAAGATTTGACTCAGTGCTTTATATGACAAACTACAAGTCACCTCAATGTTGGCAGAAACTGGCAGAGTGCCTGTCATTTACATCACTCAGTAACCAAAGTCACCTCAATGTTGCAGAATCTGACAGAGTGCCTGTCACCTACATCATTCAGTATCCGAGAGGGAGATAAATGACAAAACATTTCACACTGTGATGTAAACTTCACTGTTTTTGTACTTGTGATGTGACATTGCATACACAAATACCTAAGGGTCACAGTTTGTGTTGTAATGCCAGTATACACATTTTGTCATGTTGAAGAAACCTCCAGATGCTGCACACCCCTATAAGTATGGGACTGAGGTTTTGCTTGCACTTTCACAGCAGGTATAGATACTGATATTTCACAAAATTATATTAAATTCAAACTTATAAGACTGGACCTCTCAGAAGTTAAAATAGTGAAAAATATTATATTACAATCTCTGCAAAATACTATAAATCCTCATCTTATTTACATAAAACAATGAACTCCATCTTCCTGAACCAATGGATACATATGGAATAAGTATTTTTCAAGCTCTTACAAAATAATGCAATTAGATGCGGCCAGTTATGCATTTTGAAAAAGTGGGATGGAGAAACTTGCCTAACAGCAAATCGAGGTCAAGTCTTCAAAAATCATTCAAAATAATTTAGCCAACAAGTGCAGGACAGAGATTTCCAGTCACAAAGTTGCTGAAACAAAGCACAACAAAATATAAAATTTAAATTGCTCAGTTTTTTAGAGAAACGGGATTAATAAACAACTAAGCAATAGCCAAGCTCACTAAGGATTAAAAGAGCAAAATTCTAACTAGAAGCATCTGTAGCAGGAGAACAAATAAATTAAAGATGGCAGTCACACCTCTGTGATTAAAACTTCGAGGGTTTTTTTGTGTGTGCGGCATATCTGACTGAATCAATAGAACACCCTGTTGTCACACAGGAAATCAGTCAGAACCAGTGGTATCTGAACAAGCCCTGATGACACAAAAATGACACGCATGTGGCAATATCGTGATGCAAATATTGAACTTACAGTATACACATGCACCCTTGTCCCCCTTTCTGCTCCTTTTCCTGTAGAGGCAGGATAGGAATAAGCAGTGGAAAAGCCACACTTTCTGCCCTGTTCTCTGTCAGCTCCCATATGGAATGATAGTTTTGGAGGTTGAAGCATTCAGGATGTGCATGTGAATATTCCTAAAACCAGGATCCTGACTTGAACAATCAATGAGTCGTTTTTATAATGATTTCGAACAGAACATAAAACATATTAATCTTCCTGATTTTAAGTCTCCATTTTACATGAGGGTGTGGGACGTTAGCACCCACCCCTCCCCTAGAAAAATGGAATATCCTAGGAAATATTAAAAAGGCAGAATATGGAGCCAAGGTGGCGCAGTGGTTAAATGCAGCACTGCAGGCTACTGCTAGATCAGCAGGTCAGCGGTTCAAATCTCACCGGCTCAGGGTTGA